ACAAGCCAATTACAACAGAATAAACACAAATGGCCAATAGATATGAAAAAAAAATGATCCAAGATATCCATCACAGAGAAATCCACAATTAAAAAATTCAACAGCTTTCATGAGGTATATTTCACTTACCGTGTAATTCACCATTTTTAATGTATATTTCAATGCTTTTTAGTATATTCACAGAGTTGTACAACCATCACTGCAGCCCCCCTCCCATAAAAACACTATACACATTAGTAGTCACTCCTCTTGTCACCTCACCTGACCCCCAGCCTCCAGCACTAGGTAACCTCTAATCTGCTTTTTGTATCTATAGATTTGCTAATTCTGGACATTTGAAATAGGTTGGAATCATACAGTATGTTGCCTTTTGTGACCAGCTGATTTCATTTTGCAAAATCTTTTCAAGGTTTATCTGTATTGCAGTATGTATCCATACTGAATTCCTTTGTTAAAAATTTTAGAACTTACGTATTTTTTATTATTTTATTGTGGTAAAACATATGTAACACAAAATTTGCCATTACCACTTCTAAACATATAATTCAGTGGCATTAATTACACTCACAAGGTTGTGCAACAATCACTGGTATCTGTTTCCAAGACTCTTCATCCTCCCAAGTAGAAATATAACCACTAAGTAGTAACTCCCCATCTCCCCCTCTCTTCAGCCCCCAGTCACCTCTAATCTCCTTTCTGTCTCTGTCAATTTGCCTATTCTAGATATTACATGCAAGCGGATTCAAGCAATGTTTATCCTTTTGTGTCTGGCTTAATTCACTTAGCATGATGTTTTCAGGGTTCATCTGTGTTGCAGCATGTATCAGAACTTATGGATGAATAATACTCAACTGTATGGATACACCACATTTTGTTTATCCATTCTTCTGTTGATGAAGAATTGGATTGTTTCTACTTTTTGGCTCTTGCGATTAATGCTGCAATGAACATTGGTGTACGAATATCTGTCTGAGTCCCTGATTTCAGTTTTTTGGAGCATATACTTAGGAATGCAATTGCTGAGTCATAAGATAATTCTTTTTAAGAAACTGCCAGACTATTTTCCTAAGTGGCTGCATCAATTTACATTCCCACCAGTAGTGTATGAGGATTCTGATTTCTCCATAGCTTAGCAATACTTGTTACCATTTGTCTTTTTGATTATAGCCGTGCTAGTAAGTATGAAGTAATAGCTCATTGTAGTTTTGACTTGCATTTCCCTGATGGCTAATGATGCTGAATATCTTTTCATGTACTTATTGGCACTTGTATATTCTTATACTGCTAGTGGAAGTGTAAATTGATTAGAAAAAACTTTGGGAGGAGGGTATAGCTCAAGTGGTACAGCACGTGCTTAGCATGCATGCAGTCCTCGGTTCAATCCCCAGTACCTCCATTTAAAAAAAATTAAATAGGTAAACCCAATCCTCCCTGCAAAAACAAAAACAAAAACAAAAACAAAAAACTGAAACAAAACCAAACAAAACCAAAAACAACTTTGGAGGACAGATGACAATTTAGTTTTCTCGGAGACAACAAACCCACTTACAGGAATTTACCTGAAGGAAATACTTAGAGAAGTATGATGTGTACTTAAGTTATTGCAGTTATTTTTACATTAAAGAAAAATTGGAAATACATTCAGCAATAGAAGTTTTTAAAATAAATTATTGCATAGATAAGATGGTAGACTATGGAGCTATTAAAGTGATGATACGGAAATAAGTATTTTGACATATAAAAAACCTATGACATACTGTTGAACGAAGAAAGTGGATCACAGAGTAGAATGAGTGTTTACCTTCTCTTGGTATCTGTGTGCCTAGGGAGACGTCCAGCAGGATGACCAGTAAAAGTGAACCATGCTTACCTCTTAGTGGTGGGGTTTGAGGTTGCTTCTTTGTTTATCCTTTGAGATTGTCTTTACTGTTAGATCTTTCAAAAAAAATCGGCATATACCACAAGAACAAACTTTCTAAGGATAAGAATTGCTCTGAATTGTGCCCCTTACTCTCCTTACTATTGGGGAACATTCCACTTCAGTCTTGAAGGCCTACCTTCGAGCCACAAAAGAATCCCAGTAAACCATAGCAGTGCAGAGGGCTGGTGTAACAGAAAGGCCTGAGCCTGTTTTAGAATTTCTTTGCAATAATCACACAAGTTTAATTACAGCAAATAAATGAAAATCGATACACTGGAGTCAATGAACACAAAACAAAATGTGCTTGTTTTACAGGTCCTAATAGGATCTCGACCAGGAACCATTCACTCGCATGTATTTCTAACACATCTCTCTTTGAATGGAAATTTGTGGCGGATGGTGAGGGGAAAATATAGACCATTTCCCTACTCCTCATCAATCAAGAGTTCGGTTCATCCAGGCTTGTTCAGAATTGTTTGCTCTCTGTCATGCCTTTGTATATGTTGTTCTGTATTTTGCCAGAAGGTCTCTCTCCATCTCAGATTCTTTGAAAAGCCCCACTGCTCTACCAAGATGGGCTCTGATTCACACCTATGTCTCCCAAGACTGGGTAGTTATGCCTGAAGATGAGTTTCTTGCTTCTTCACAGCTCCAGAGCATAGTAGCTTTACTCTAGTGGCCAGCTTGTTATAAAATATTGACACTTGCTGTGATCGATTTGTCTGGAAAGTTGCTTTAACCGTGTCCATCATTAATTCTTCCATGTACTTTCCCCAAGAAGTGGACATGGCCTCTCAATCCCTTACAACACAGTGCGCCATCTCTGTATTTCATTCTTTTCTTTGAAGGTACCCTTCTGGAAGCACTCCATTTTCTGGCTCCAGTGTGGACTGGTAATTGGCTAGACTAGCGTCACATCTGTTGTGCTGAGATCTCTTTTCAACATCATCCTAAGAATTCTCTCTTTCCTCTCCTGCTCTGGACCCAGGGCTGATTTCATGGGCTCTGCATCCTGTGCAGTTAGAAGGGTCCTGCATTGGATTTAGTGCTCTGCTGTCCTCATCTTGAAATTCTTAATAAATCTTGAACAAGGGGCCCAGAGTTTTCATTTTATATTGGGTCCCATCCTGCAAATCATGTATCTGGTTCTGAAATGGACCCTGAGTTTCTGTTTTGGTTCTTGGTAAACCCTCTTATGTGGGGAGCCCCAACTCTGGTAGCTTCCTGAGTAAAGCTTAATAGGAAGTAACTTTTTGGGGGAAATTTTGCATATCTGGAAAAATCTTTATTTCACTCTCATGTTTTAGTAAAAGTGTGGCTCTGAGGCGGGAAGCCCCATAAAAAACCGGCAGGGCCCCCAAGCAGAGCCACTGCTCTTCTGCTGGCACCATCCGGTTCCCTGGCCCAGAGGCTCTATCTCATTTTTTGCCTCTGAAATGGCTTACTTACCCCTAAAATTCTATTGGTTCCCTGAGCTCAC